GAAACACACAGATGGTTATTTGATTTATAGGAGCAGTAAAAAAAATCTGACTCGAGAAAGTAGATTTTCTTTCCTCTGAGACCGTTACACGCAGTTAAAAAAAACACGTAATTGAATTACGTTTCAGAGATTAGAAATTTTGGCTTTATATCTACTGTTAAACTTTTGTCCAAATTTCCCTGTGAGGCTACTACTGAGCAGATGCTTTTAGATGTGAGGAAAAAAAAAAAAAGGAGATAAAGAAAACTGTGCCCAAAGTGTGAAAGGAAAATTAAAATAGCATGAGGCATATGTGCTGTGGCAGGGGGATTGGAATAGATGATCTTTTAAGGTCCCTTCCAGCCCAAACCATTCTATGAATCTATGAAATCAAAGCATTACTTGCAAATTAAGTAACATAGCAAGGAATCACTGTATTCACAAAGTGTATTTTGCAAAAGTTTTGTGCATCCAGGTGCATTTCAGTTTTGTCTCAGTATCTGAATCTCAGTGTAACTGAAAAGACTGTAATCCATAGTTAAACCTGTTTTATTCCTATGTCAGCCCAATGATTTAATTTATATTACCTTTGATTTACAACATCAGATGATTGAATCTCCACTGTTTGAAAACCCAGTACTATTCTAAGACTCAAGGGAAACCATCCCAAACTGGAAAGTGGGGAGCAGGGAATAAATGTTTAGAATTATCCAGCCTCCATGTCTGTGTCATGCTATAATTTACAATAATTTGTAACAATAGTTTCTAAAGGCCCTGACAAGTCTTTACAAGCAAAGCTTCCATCAAAGAACTCATGATGTGGTTGAAATGCTGTAAGTAGAGCTGGGAATATTTTCCACTCAAAACCTTATTCCATGAGTAGTATAGATTTGAGTTGCCTGGAAAAATTCACTAACTGAAGGTAAAGTTCACAACAGGATGCAGTTTTTAGAGAAAAAAAAAATCAGAATGTTTTACATCTACCTTGTTCATATACCTTTAGCTGTTTTAGCATAAGTGATTTGGAGTAAATCATGCTTCTGAAGTTTGTTTTTGTTTTTGTTTTTGTTTTTTTCAAATAGGCATTGAAATATATGGTTCTATGGTGAATCTGGCAACTACTTACTTGCCTGTATTTCTGAGGGCCTTATTACTGTAGCATGTAAATGCCTGACATGCTTTACTCAAAAGCTGCGTTCTTGCAGCGATAGATGGCTGGTGAATTCTGTGTAATTTTACGCCCCTCATTACCACAGTATTTGGTGTCCTCATGACTATTAATGGATTTTGCCTCTTAACACTACAGTGAAATCAGCAAGTATCATTCTCCCTCTTTACAAACAGGGAACTGATGAGAAGCACAGATTAAGTGACTTACATGAAAACCACAGGAAAGTTGTGCTGCTGCCAGGAATGAAATCAGGTGCCATAATGCCAGTTCAGTCAAGTTGCCCATATATTAAATTTTGTAAGAGGTTTTTCCTAAAAATAATTGGAGAACTTTTTCCTCCTTCTAGCATGCAGAACCTTTTTACACATGATGAGTACGCCTCTAAATAGGAGGCACATTGATGATAATTGACTAATAGATATTGTGAAATATTTTGAATGTTCAATCTACCTATCTTAGATATCACATGTAAGTCAGGATAAATTCTCTTCTTGGGATCTGGTTTCTTCTCATTCAGTATATTTGGAGCCTATATGATTTGTTTAGGTTAGATGTTTAATTTTTGATGAACTAAAATTGTGCGAGGTGGTTCACAGTCTAAGCTATTTAGTTACCCAAACCTTGGTTTCAAAAATACCTTAGGTCAAGTGACTTAGAATCAGAATTATTGGAACTGAAGCAGCTATTGTGGGAGTCACTTATTTTCAGGTCTCAATATGTAGCAAATTGTCTGATCTCTCTTTGTTAATAGAACAGGGCACTCCAGCGCTCAGTTCTTCTCATGCTAATGTACAAATCTAAAAGAGAAGAGATGAATTGCAACCTGTCTCTCCTTTTAATTATAAATGGAGTCTAAGCAACCAGAGCAGCTATAGGCATTATCACTGCAGAAATCCAAACTAAATTAAATTAATACATCTTTAAATCTCCAGCTAAGAGGCAAAGTAGAACAGTGTGGTTGTCTGCTGGAATATCCTTATATAACTCATCCAAACATGTGATCAAAAATACATCATGGGCTCCAAAGACATTTAAGGGCTTTTGAAAATTGACTTGCTTTAGGCATGTTGACTGCATCAGTCATGTGTGATATGTATGGCTGTGGTATACAGGAGAAAATGCCTCTAATAGGTATAATCTGTCACTATATGCAAATAGTTAATTAATAATTCATGAATAAGTGTTTTGGTCCTTTACAAGCCTTTTATAAATGCACCCTTAATGTAAAGTGAGTCGTTTTGTTTCAATCCACTGAATAAAGAGTATAAATCCACATATATTGTGTCCGATTGTGTTACGGCAGCAAACATGTATGCATCTTGCTACTACATGTTTTAGTTGGTTGTTGGGTTTTAATTGAGCTAGTGTACAGGCACAGGGAAAAAGAATTTGGAAAATGGCATCTTATAAATGTATCTGGACTTTGAAGGTTAGTAACTAGATGTCAGGATGTGCAAACATTTATTAGAATCTATCCTGTCTTCAAATTGATAATTTTTTTTGCTTTTAGTGTGAAAATCACTGATGAGAGTGCTATACTGATTTGGCATGAGTCCCCTACTGAACCAACATAAAATGTCACATTTGTTGGGCAGAATATGATGGCTTTGTCCACATTTTCAATAAGTAAACCGGACATTTCCTTTCTGTAACTTTCTCTGACAAGACAGATTGTTTCCCATTGTACCTATCTTCCATTTTTCTGTAACAAAAATAAAAGTGAAGAGACAGGACAAATGTCTCCATGCCCTTTTATGCTAAGTTAATGACTGGAAAGTATATCATTTTTTTCAGCTAAGAATTTAAAATGGAAATGCTGACAGATTCTCAGCTACAGTGTCACTGGAATTTGCTTCTGTAGTGAGAAGCTGCTAACAATCCCACATCCAGCACAATGTTCCCTCTTAATGGGGTAAGGCAATCACCATCCCCACCTTCAGGTAGTCTCTGCCCTGAAGAAAATTTAGGTCAGCAGAGAGTTTTGCAGTAGTGGTTATCCATGTTTCTGTTCAAGGCCAGCAAAACGACTCAGAGCACTCAGCATGTATTTAGTGCAAGGATCACAAACTTTGCAGAAAATTTCTAGAGTCCAACATTAAACATTTATGTCATTACTCTAGGTTCAAGCATAATAATAATGTAGAAAAACACTAGCTGATTTGTAAGGCCTCTGCATTCAAGGAGACTTTGCAGATATGTCATGTACATATCTTAAAATACTGCTATTTTACAAATCCAAGATCCTTAATTCAGGATTTCTGGCTGCTCTTCATACACTGAGTGCTATTTTGAAGGCTTCCTCACTTTTTAGATTTTGCTTTTCTTTTGATAGGAACTTTGTTAGGATTTTTTTGTTAATTGACAAAGGTGGATACTTTTGGTTTGGTAACTTTATTCTATTTTTTTCCATGAGGCAACACTTTTGTGTCTATAATATAATGTTTTAAGAAGTCGCATACTATTTTTAAAAACCCAGTGTAACATGACATGTTATGGCAACACCTGCAAAAGAATCTTCTTAAATGTACCCAGAAAATATGCAGTGGAGCCCCTGTCTTTGTAATTTAAAATTCTTCTTTGTATGCTTTCTGTATGAGGTTTTGGTTCTAATACTTCAGTTTTCCTTATGGGATTTCTTTGGTGAGGGGTGCAGATTGGAGAAATAATATTTTTTTTTGTTATCCAAAAAAAAGAAGGAAGCAGGATTTTCATGAGTGATTATGGGATAAAAGTTTATGAAGCACTAACTGCTGTTGTGAGTGCTATAATGTAAAGCTATGTTTTGTTCCTTTAGCACACCATAAAGCCATTCTGCTCATGGAGAAAATTCATACTACTCCCTTCCTCTTTGGCCTTTTGGATTTTCCTGTTTTCTTTGGGGCTGTTAGGACCAAATGCTTTCATTTATTTCACTCTACAGTAGACCAGATTTATAGGTGAATCTGAAGTCTGGTTTACAATGGTTATATAGCCACTAGTGTAGAACTGCATCAACGCAGAACCCTAGAGTGGATGTGATTTACATGTACACAGCATGATTTGTACTTACTCAGCTTATCTCTGCCTGAAAGCAGGGTAAGTTAGACCAGGGAAAGTTATTGCAATGGCATCAGTCATTTCAGAGTGGGCATTTTTGTCAGTGAGGATACGATGAGCAAGTTATTTAATATTGCTTTGTGTCAGTGTCTCCATCATTAAAATGGAGGCATTTTCATAGCCTTTTAGGCTATTGGGATGGAACCAGAAAAAAAACTGCAAAAACTAAGAAAATTTCCTGGGAGAACCTGGAAAAAAACTGCATCTAACAGTGAAATAAATGTATATCAGAAAATGTATTGTGCCAATCAGTTTCATGAAATTTAGTTTAAAAATAAAGTCAGCTGGGCAATTTTTATACCCCTTAAGCTCTAAAGCATATATAAAACTATGCTTAAAGCTATAGATCCTTGAGGTTTTTTGTGGGTTTCTTTTCAATCTGTATACAGCTTTTAACAATATCTTGTTTTGGACTATATTTATGATGTTTACAATAATATTTTTTTATAGCAGTATAAGAGTTCTTGAGGTTACTTACAGAAACAATCAACTGTTTTCTTGATTTTAATATCCCACACAATTTTCTGGTGGTGAAAATGATAGCTGTGAGACAGAAAATGATGTGTATGCTATAAGTTGTGTGGAGTGACACCCCATTTAATGACACTGTGAAGTTTTAGACTTTTGACAAATAACCCAGACAGACATTAAGGTGGTTGACTTGATTCTGTAGAATAGATTTCAAGCTCAAAGTCTGTGAGGTTTTTTTTTGTGGGTACTGTTAGAAGTTTAACACCAGTCTGTTTCATTGTAGTACAACCGCTACCAGCGCTATGGGGCTGAGGAGTGCGTGCTGCAGATGGGAGGAGTGCTGTGTCCAACTCCCGGCTGTGGAGCGGGTTTGCTTCCTGAACCAGGAGTGAGGAAAGTTGTATGTGAGCCAGGCAACGGAATAGGCTGTGGGGTAAGAACATACATTTTCCTACTAGCAGTGTGGGAAACAATTGATATTGTACAATGTTAGAATAAGGAGGGAAATAGTTTTTTCCATCAGTGACACTGAATTGCCCTTCATACCAGAGTGGGATACTGTGGCTCAATAAGCAATTTAAGTATAGCACCATGGCTCAGGAATGATGACTTCAACATGTTGACTATGTCCATTCCAGAATTATTTGCTTTATTTGGTTTAAGAAGTTGCTGAGTAGTTACAGTAAGAAAGTGAACTGTGCAAATGACAATCCAAATGCACTTTGACTTTCTTCTCCTAGCATTCAGCAAAAATGAACAGGATCTTGAGGAAAACACTCATATTAACATCAACTTTCTTTGTAAATTGTTAAAAAAAGGAGAGAGAGAATGACCAGTCTGTGATACTGCAGTGACATTGCTTATGCATGTTAAGATACATGATGAAAAGAAATATAGAAATATTTTTGTTTTCTCATAAAAATTGCCTTTAAGCAGTGGGAATGCACAATTAATGGTGGATTTCTGGAAAACAAAAACAGATGGCACTTGAAAATGGTTTTGGGAAGAGGTCAGATCATATGGATCAGTGGGTTTTTTTGGCAGTAGAAGAAGCAGGTGCTTTACAAGAATCAAGCTTTGGGGGAAATAGAATTATGTAGAGAGAAACCTATTAAATGTTAGGTCAGAGCGACTAACTGATGCTTGTACCAAGTGACTCTTTCTATAGTTGGTGTTATTACTGAATTCCATGCAGGCTATGAGAGAAGATAAAATATCTATATTTATAAAATATTATCATGCTCTTGCTGTTGTCTTTCCTGTGGAAAATGCTCTTTTTATTGCAGTTTTGATGCTGCCCAAACTGATACCATGGAAGAATAATAGTTTGCCGAACTAGGAAGTTGCAGTAACTTGTCTTCTGTGTGTGGGTTAGCATCTGTCGACCTTGGTAAAACTTCCTATCCGTCCATGCAGTGGTGCATGTAAAACAGAGTACTCCCCAGACTCACTGAGCAGGCATAGGGCTATAAAATAAAGCAGAAGGTAGGAAAGTAATAAGAAACAAGACTGAGTAAACAAAAAGAAATGCCAGTGGATTAACTAATAGGGGTTGGCTAAAAAGGATAAAATCACACATAATTTTTACTCTCCTCTCTGCCTTGACGTGATAAAAATCAAACTGTGTTTTGCAGCTTCATTCATCATCATTCTGAATCTGCAAATGCCCTGTAAATAAAGTGTACACAGCATAAAGGATTGATGTATTGCCTGGTTTAGCAAATTGCTCTGTTTCTTTTTATGAACTCTGTGCTGTGCTTGCTAGTGACCAGATCTGCAGCCTTGAGTTTAACCTCACCCTTTGTTTTGAATTATGTGACATCTTAAACATTAGGGGGTACAGTTCACTGAGGCTGAAATGAGAAGTGAGAAACTGGTCTGTAAGCCAAATTTTGCTAACATTAAGGCCCTTCCTCAGAACCTATAATGAACAGGGTGAAAATACATGTCTTTGAATCTTTCTGTGTACCCTAACAAATGATAACCCCAAGGAAGGTTTGTCACAGATTTCCTGTGGCGAGGGTTCTAGCACTGACATCAGCTGCTGGTGAGAAAGCTGGCTGAAGTTAAGGATCTACCTGCAAGAACACCAAGACAGTTAGAAAAGCTATTTATTTCTACCCTGTTTTCTGTAGTCACTTTGAATGTTTTCTATTCAGAAAGTTAAACTATGGTGGGTTTTTTCCCAGACAAAACCTGGCCTTTTTTATTGTGTGGGCTCTCCACACCTCCTTATGGAATCCAGGAACATCCACTTCCCTCATGAGTGTACACAATGATTTATAAGCTCAAAGAAAGGCCCAAAATGAATAATGTCCCTGCTGTCAATCCAAATAAAGGTAGAAAAAGACACCTTGCAATACTTACCTGTACAGCTTAAGTTAGAAACACGTTCCTTATTGAAGCTGGTAAGCGAAGAAATAACAAAGGCAACATGAATCTGGAGATTCTCTATGAATATCTGTGTCATCCTTTAAACTATACTTTAGATATGTGTAGTCTCTTTGGGGGTATTTGAACCTCTGTTTTTAGGTAGTTTTCATAGTTGATAACATATTGCTAACAGCAGAAGTTATATCTGACATCAGTGGTTTGTTATTCACCCAAAACCCCTTGTAGAGAAATAGTTGTCTACTGTATAGGACAAACTGTTCGGAACAAGCCTGATTGTTCAGGTCTGAATTGCAGTATAAGGATAGCTAACAACTGTCAAGTAGATTAGGATTTTGATTAACTGATGAGATGGATCAAGGGAGGGAGAAGGAATAGGTTTTCAAGCAAAAGTTGAGACAGTAAATGAAAAGGATTTTCAACAGATGTTTTAGAAAAGGGGAGGCAGAAGAAACCAAATAAACTGGCCACCAGGGACTGAAGCAAAGTAAATATACCATTATTCAGAGAGCAAACTGTGTGAGGCAGTGCCAAACATGTAAGGACTTCAACCAAATCTGAAAGAGCATCGAAAAATGAACAGGTAACTGAACCAGACTAGGATACAGACATTTTGCCTTCCTCAGTTTCTTTCTCTGGTATGTGAAATGAGGAACTAGAATGTCTTTTTGCAAAGTCATTGCTATTGGTGTCAAAGCTAAATGTGAGTCTCCAAAAGAGTGCTCTTAATTTGCTAAAAGGACCTTTGGGAAAGTTAAAGATGGTGGATTTTGCTTTGTCTCAGGAAATTTGGGAACAGCAATATGTGGGGCCCAGAAACAGCCTGGTAAATATCTACACAGAACTATACCAAAAAGGTGACGAGAGAGGTTTAAATTCAAGCATCCCTATATGTACCCTCTGCAGTCAGGCACTGCTATCTATTCAGGCTTTCAGGCAAAGACATAGAACAAGAGGAGAGATTTATTTTCATTTGAAAAGTAGCATGCAGATATCTTTTTAATGATTATGAATGGCCCTCACCCAAAACTGTGTTCTGGTAACACTGACTGACCTCACTCTTGCCTAATCTTTCATATTTTTTATCATTATCCAAAAACATATTAATTGATTTACCAAGATATTATAATTACACACTGTTGTTCTACCCTCATTACTATGCATCAGACCTATGTTACTAACTTTTATTGCTCAGATATAAAATTTTGACATATTTAATACGAGAAAACAGCAACAAAACATAGAAGACAGTACATATTGTACCAGCTGGCCTGGGTACAGGAAAAGCTGTGGTAATCAAGGCATACAAAAGCTCTATGAATAAAACATTTTTGTCTTGTTTTATAATACAGTGGCATATTATTTCCTACATATTAAATAGAAGTTTGGAGTAAAAAGCAGGTTAGAATTAAGTTTCAAAAAGGACTATACTACCTATTTATTAAAAAGTATGCCTTGATTTCTACACATACAGCTCATGTCTTGCAAAACATCCCCTATCTGTATCTTTCAGTGGGATGATAACCCACTAATTTGTGACTGCATCCCAGCCCTTGCTCCACAACAGTATAAACATTTTATAGCATGCAATATCAGTTGACCTATCCTTTGGAATGGGGTGAGGTGGGAGATCAGGGATAGTGGAGATAGAGCCTCTCTTGGTCTTCTCCCCTTGAGTTTACTCATTCCTAGCATAATCTATATAAGCAAAAGGAAGAATGTATTTCCAGAGATCCTCTGTTGTTTGATAATCCCTTGCTAGGAGACCTGACTCTTGAAGGTTCATGGAGGGTCTGAGACCACTCTAAACTATCCTAAGGTCTGGACAACAATTTAAATGGTCTTAGGAACAAGCTGTCATAATTGATGTTTTTGTGGCCCTTCATTCAGATCCCCCAATGTGAAATTCCAGCCTGCAAGTGAGTACTCAATCTTACCACATATTAAATGTGCAATGATAAAGGAAGTTTTATAGCCTTGCAAAGGGAGAACAAAATTTGAGGTTATTTCACCTCTTCTACACTGTATCTACTGTTCTGTAAGCAGAATGCCATTGAAGAACATCAAGATTTCACTAAAGATGTGTTCTCTTCTAGGACAGGTGAAATTTTAAGGCTGCAGATTGCAAGAGGTCCCTGAAAAATCAATAGCTATAAATACCATGTCTTCCTTATAAATACAATTCCTAGGCAATTGTATTACATAGAATAAAATCCCTAAGGCAATTTCACTCTTCCCAACAATTTTTTCTCATTGATTTTTTTCTTGCATTCTTCTTCCATGGCTAAGGAAGCACATGTCAAAAGCAATTGCTGCATATTTGTAGAATTAATAATTGTCTGCCTTTTCAGAAAGCTTAATAGAATAGTGGAGACTCTAAAATAGTTACTTGAGAACTGCAATACACATTCCTTTTGTTTTTAAAACTCTTTTTACCTCCTGTTCATGCATTTCTTAGCAAGCACGTTTGGTCTTCAGTGATGTCTTTGTTTAAGCACAATAATATGCATTTAGGAGAACCTTGAATAATTCAGAAAAATATTTTGTTTTGAGGAGATGAATCTGAATTACAAAAATTCCAAGCAACACATTCATATTCACTTAATTCTGATAATTCAAATGATGATTTTGTTAGTTGGGTATGTCCTAAACTTTTGGAGCAGTGCTGTTTATTTTAGGGCTTTATATCTTTGTGGGAGTGCTATGTGAGTGCACCTATACTCCCTCTGGAACCTGAACTACCTCACAAATGCTGTTTCATAACTATATCATATATATGAAAGTACATAATATTTTGTAATAGTACCCCAGTTGAGAAGTGAAAAGTAGTTTCCACATCTGACAATTATAAGTCTTTTGTTGTAAAGGTCAGCTCTAATGCAATGTGTTGTCATGATCAGCATGTACTTTCTTTGTGCAATTTCTATCCTTCTTGTGTCAGTTGTTGGCTCATTATTCCATATATATTGCTTGATCAAAATGTTTTAAAGTCTGACTAACCCAAAAGACTTTATTTTCAAACAGAGACGTAAGTATAAATAT